TTGAAAGACTGATTAGGTCCATAGCTTAGTATATAAAGGAATGTGTTTTAAAAATGCCTGAATGCAATTTAGACTTAAGTAACCACTGGCATTTATTTTTGTTACTCTTACTTGCCCATGCAATATTTATAAGATCAAAATGTGCTTGTGCTATTGTCTTTGCAGAAAGAAAAAGGCATGTAGAAAAAGAAAGTTTATCTTGATATATCAAGTGCAAACAAGTAACAGCTACCAGGTACCTGGTGCTGTTGCTCTGGATGTCTTTGTGCTATGTTTAAGGTGGTCTGGTGTGAAAATACTGATGCTCCTAATGGCTTGTCACAGGACTATTCATAAAGTTAAATTCAAGTAACTTGTGTGCAAACATCATAATGGCTATGGTGTAACTGAGTTCAGCCGACTTAAATATTCTGGGGATAATCTTGCAAAGTGTTTCTTTTTTGTTCTGTAGACATGCTTAGCTTTTTCTGTTTCTACTTGTAGAACTTCAATGTGAGTCACTAGTATTAAAATCACTTCCAATAAGGTTACTACAAGATCAGTCTTAAAAGTGCCCTTATCTCTAGGAGCTGGATTACATGTGCTGTCTGATGATAACATGCAATCTGTGATACTGCAGGTTTATTATTTGTATTATAACAGTTTGGGTGGTTGGTGGGTTAGAGGGGAGGTGTTGCTTAGGTGGGGTTTTGTTTTGTATACATGAAACACAGTTGTAGCTCAGACAGAAAATTGCACACCCTCCACACTTTCAAACTGAATACACTTTGGAAGTGTCCAAAAATGAACAAAATAGATTTTTTTTTTTGTAGATACTTTAAGAAATTCAAACAATTTGTTCTTACTCTCACATTTACACGCACATAAAATATAGTGAGGAAAGTAAATCTGTGTATTCTGCATCATAAAACCTTCCTTCCTTATTGGGCTGTAAATAGGGCTCTTTTCACTAACTCTGCATTTGGGAAGGGGTGGGGCCATGCCAGCATCTCTGGACACCTTATTCTGACATCTGGTGGTGTGACTGATGTCAGTGTCATGGCACTGATCATATGCAATCATGTGCTGCTGTAAGCAGTTAAAGGGAAGTAAAAGCTACAAAAGGTTATCAGCTTTCCATTGCTGATTTTTGGGGGCTCCTTTTGGGGACTGTTTATTTCAGATCACTGGCCTGAGAAATTTTGTTGAAATTTCTGGTATAAAAGCAATTATAAGATGTCACGTCCGTAGGAAATAGATTTTAAATCAGAGATCACAAAAAAATATTATAAACCCATGACTTTAGGGGTCCTTACAGTTTTCCTTACACCTATTTTATCACTTTGTTTGTGAATGGCATACTCTTACAGGCTTGAAATGTCCTCATCACACATCAGAGGCTGCTTAAAATTTTAGTCCTGCTGCAGCCAAGAATTCCAAATCTTGTCTATGCAGGAGCTGTCTTAGAAAATTATTTTATGTTAGCTAACCTCTTAATTCAAACATTATTTAAAGCTGCACTTAATGTATCGTATTATTTATAGGGGTTAAATAATTACTCCGTACTTCAAAAGACCTTTCTGACACTAGTGTTCATTTATTATCTTAAATATTGCTAGTTTTGCCTGCAGGGTTATCTTAGTTGTAGTTCATTCATGGTTAAAAAATTAACCTGTAAAATACAAAGTTTATAAACGTTGCTGCAGTTGTTAGCCTCACGTATAGAAGTTGATGTGAGAAGTTTGTGTGGTGGGCTAAAGAATACCTGCAAAAATCCCAATAGGTGTCATTCCATGAAGAAAAGGGAGTAATTGAAGCACTGTTCCTTCAGGATAATGCTGGAGAACAAGTCAGGTTGTCTTTAAATAGCCAGTGTCCCTCCTTGCTGCAGAGTGGTCGAATTAGCAGCTGAAATAGTTGCCAAACAACCAATGGCTGTTTTCCACTTGGGCACTGTGCCTTGCTAATTCTGTTGTTTTGCTTTTGGACTCAGTCTGATATCTCCATATGGTACAGCAGTATCTGGTTAATCTGCTACACACATAAGTTGTCTTGTGGGGGATAAATGTACCTCAGTCAGTCCTCGGTATGTTCTGCTGGCTCTTTTGCTCCTTTTAGGCTGTAGTGAATGTTCTCTTCCTCATTCTGCCTAACAGCTCTCTGCTCAGTTTCAGCTTCTGAAAATAATTCATAATATTTTTCTATGTGCAGTTTGCTAAACAGTTTTACATTTACGTCAGGACCTTTGCCTTTAAGAAAAAAATGTCAAGCTGGTAGTATTGTGGAGAGTTGTAAGTTAAAGGGATGGGTTTGTAGAAGAAACAGTTTTGCTCAGAATGTCAACCTTGCACGCTCAGTATTATAGTCTATTAAACGTTTATTTTGCAAGCAATGAAGAATGTTTGCTTTACACTTGTGGGCTGTTTGGTCAATAGCAAATGCAGCAGTGACTTAGGTGTACTCAGAAGTAAAAAGAAATTTAAGAATCTTCAGAACATGATGTTCCTGTCATGCAATCTGAATAGCACATGCAAAGTTCAGAGTTTACTATGCACCCAGTCTTTGAGCCTTAAAAATGCACATCTTTTTTTCATCTGTTAGCTAAAGCTAGGTGTGTGTTTATAATCTGAGATGTAGCAAACTTACGATTCAGATTGCTTACTGTACTGATTTGGAGCAGGGATTTCAGCTGGTTCTCCTGTCTCAGAACTGTGCCCTACTGTGTTCTGAACTTCTGTTGCTCTTGTTTCTTAATTGGCATTGAGCACTCAAATGTTCATGGCTTGAGCCAAGCAAAGATTTGGTAGACTGATGGCAGTAAGTGCTCATCTGTTAAACAGAAATCCAGCTTCTCCAGAACTTTTGAAATCAGTAGGGGTAGAAGGCTACAAACTGAGAACTGAACTCATTTAACATCTCTTATGATATGATATGTGCCGTGACTGGGAATGCAAGGGTTCTTCAGTGTGCAGTGAATTTCTCCTGCAGCCAGTGTACTTGAACTTGGATGCACTGTTGCTGACGGGATGCAATGTGCAGGTTACACTTATTTGCAGTGTTTCTTTTCAGTTGATGGGAATTGGCTTTGGACTTCTATTTTAAATTTCAAATTGTTGTAGTCGTCGAATAATATGTCTACACCACACAGTACTTTGTGACTGTTCTTGTTCTTTTCTGTACAATCCCATACTACCCTTTCACGTCTGCCTCTCCCTACAGTGCACACAGTGTCATTGAGATATATTTATTTGCTCAGCCAAGCAGTTTCAAGCTCAATAGGAGTATGTCTAGGTAAAATAAATTAGCTTTTGCAGTAAACATCTCAAGAAGAAAAAAAATAATCTCCTTAATGTGTGGTATAGAAAGATTGTAGTTATAGCTAAAAAGTGCAACTTAAATTTTAAATATAATTTGTGTATCTTAGGAGAAACCTGCATGTTATTTTATCAAATATATGAATTTTTATATCTGTTTGTAGTCTCAAAAATCTTGGGAGAAATCAGGTCTAACATTCTGACATGGTAACTTCCGCTGCTGTTGAAAGCTTGTAATGTGCTGTTTTTACAGAGCTATGTCCATCTGGGAAAGCAGTCTACAGATTACTACTGTGTGCAGCATACTTGGAGCTTGGTTTGGAGCATTTCCTATTCCTCTTGATTGGGATCGGCCTTGGCAGGTGTGTATGCGCACCCTTATAATAAATATTAAAAAAATATATTAATGTTGTGGATTTGCACGCTATACAAAATTGCTCTGAAGCTTTACAAGTATATTGGATTTATTCATAAGCTGTTCCTACAGAATTAGGACAAACATTTAAAAAGTCATTGGAAGCATTTATGCTTAGAGTGTAAGGAACTAAAATGCAATATTTTTACCTCTTAATAGGTTTGTGACAGATTTATGAGTGTCTGTTGCATGCAGATTTTATCATGAAATAGATCTCATCCAATAAGGATTTTGATGAAAAGAAGCTAGGCAAACAGGAGGAGAAATGTGAAGTGATGAGGACAGCTCCAAGTTTGCCTTCAGTCTGGTAGCTTTTATTGTTCATGGGTAGGGAAGGAAAGATACTTTCCTAGTGTTTTAGCTCCCCTCTGTCTTCCATAAAAGCACTTAACAGAATGTATTTTAAATGGATTTGGATAGATTTGTGGAAATGGTGTGGCCAAAGCGCTGTACTAAACACTTCTGATTTCAAAGGAAGACAAACATTAACTCTGTAGTTGGACAAGAAAAGAGGTGAAGCTGGCACTGCAGATTATGTCTTTATAAATTCAAATGTTTGTGCTATTTTCTTAATATGTTTTTTTGGCATGGAGGAAGGATTAAATTATACATAATTGATGTCTGCAACTGCCGTAAAATAATGGCACTGGTAACAATTCTTCCTAAATGTCCTCAGTGAGTATGTTCTTTCCTCTGGTTACCAAACTCATACACTCTTAGCTGAGTAGTATCTACCAGGCCTCTTCTTAAGCAGATGGTTTCAAAGGTTTCTTTCAGAAATCAGTGTAAGAGGCAGCACACTTTCCTCTGTGATATTGCAGAGATGTGGCTTACAGCTGCAATGGAAATCTGTCTTCCATAAGTGGCTAACAGCCTGCTTTTATGCCAACAGCCTTTCATTGCAGTAGCGTAATTAGACATTAAAATTTGTATTTCAGAAATAAAAGAGGAGTAGTTTGATACTTCAAGTAAAAATATCAGGTTTTCTTCCCTAAAAACACTTCGTTTTACTCTTGCAAGATGTTTTGCCATCAATCTGACATAGGTATGTGTTGGCACTAGTTAATTGTTGACAGACGTGAATGTAACAAAAAAAACCCTAAGGGATTCATTGAAATGCAATCTTGTATCTTCTTGCAAGGTCTTATTCACTTTCCTGTTCTGATGAAAGACAGGCTCCTTGCTCAGCTAGGATTTTAAAATAGCATGTCACATCTGGCAGGTTTTATTTTATTCCCAAAATCTCAGACCTTGCTGTATATAAAAATTTCACCTTTTATGCACCAGTGATATAGGGAAAACTTGATTACTAAATCAGGGGGCTCTGATTAACAAAACACTAACACTAACTAACACTGACAGCTAAAGACAGTTATCTTAGGTACAGTTAATTTTTTACTTTTTGTCCATTCCCCCATCTTCACTTAGTGGGAGAGACAAGTTTGGTAATGGTCTGGCAGCTTTTTCTGTTTAAAACTCTTCCAAGTCAATAAAGGCCAAACATGACTGATGAAAGTTTAGCTCTTAATCTATACTTAGACATCTAAGGAGATATCATCTGACTCCTCAGAACAGCTAAGCACCTGGAGAAACCTCAGATACCCATCTTGTCACTACCTGTTTTTGGGCATGAATGCTCCCCCAGAGACTTCAAGCAGCAGCTGAAACTGTGTCTACACTTCCCTTTTCCTTCACCGTCTCCACCCTCATTTCTGACATACTCCTGATACCAAAGTTAGCAGGGGAGAGTTTCTGACTTTAAAATCCTGCATCAAAGCAATTTTCTTTTGCCTAGATATAGAGCACTTGCTGCTGTGTTCTTTCCCTTAAGTTCCCCTCATTTTTCCCCATCCTCACTTCTCAGTCTTTCACCTTGTAGAGTTTTAAATAGTGGGGTGGAGAAAGAAATCTTGTGTACCATCTTGGGTCTGACCTGCTCGATCACTACTTTAATCATCATGTGAGCAGTTTCAAGAGCAGCCATAGAGAAGTTTGCTTATCACTCCTGCAGGCTGCCACTCTGGCAGTCTTTGAAAACTGCAGTTTTAAGTGCTAAGTTTTAAAGATCTGCATCATGAGGGAAGATGAAAGAAGTTCTTGTTAAATTTAATGTAGTTTTTAAAAGTCCAATTGTCTCAGCAAGCAACACAGTGAAGCACCAAAATGGTAACAGATCTTCAAGACAGAAACAATCTGAGATACATTATGAATCGCTTTCTCTGGGGAAATGCTGAACTTCATGCAACAGCTGATGTCTTTGGTCTTGTTACCCCCACTGAGTGGTATGGATTCAACAATCCAGTTACTGCATGTAGTAGTAGCTGCACTGCTGTCTCAGAAATCTTCAGAGCCAAGAGACATTTCTGTTGTTCTTCAGAAGTTCACCAGGCAGTAGCAAAAAGCCCCTTTTTGCAAGACTTCTTTTTGCTACTTGATGTCAGGTGATTACAGAAACTCTAATAGTAAATTCTTTCATTGTAACAATAAAAGAGGAGAGGTGCTTTCTGTGTTGTCTTCAGCTGAAGACAGGGGAAAGAAAAATGGTCCTTATAACAAATTCTGCTGTTGTTGTAGATCTGTTTAGTTTGGGAGAATATTTTTAATGCAGATTGCCCATCCCCTGAGTGGTCTGACTTCTGACTTACTGAACATAAAAGTACCTGTAACTATCATTATACATATACAGACACTTATACATATAAAAATACCTGGAGGGAGTAGTTATTATTTAATATAATAATTTTTTATTTAAATAATAATTTTTAAAATCCATCCAAAATACAAGGATTGATAGAACTTAATCCAGCTGGGTATGCTTAAGGGAACACCTACAGATTAAGTCCCAGGCAAAGTCTGAAAAAAATCATGTAGATCTTAATGTAGGCTGAAAAGTAATCAAAACCCAGTCAAAACCAAATTACTTCTAGGCATCTGCATGAGTAAAGCATTAAGCTGTCATGCTTCTGACATCAGCTGTTTCTCTTATTAGCCTAAAAGCAGAGAGCTTGAGGATTACAATTTTGCATTTATCCTTCTCCTATCCAAAAAGGGACTCAAATGGAACAGCTTAGTCTTTGGACTCAAGACCAGCTTTTGAGATAAGAACAGGTTTCATTAATGATTGTTTTTGAGTTTTAGATTTTCTGTTGTGAACTTTTTTTTTTTTTTTTCATTTGCAGTGGAAATGGTTCTGCTTTAAAGCTGAAAATGTGGTTTAAATCTTATTACATGAGCAAGACTAAAGTGGTATTATCATTTTAGAGAGCAGTGTTAAGGCTTTTAAGCCTGTTTATTGCAAAATCTCGTTCTGATGTTTGTATTGGTTATGGTTGGTATTTGTGGTGTAACATGATGGAAGCAGCTGCGTTTTTACTTTTAGCTTCAGACAATTCATTATTGGAGGAGTGTTGTGGACAGGGTGAAATTGGTTCTACAAGAATTGGATGGATCAGCAATAATTGAGAAATACCACATGACAAAGCAAACCAAAGGGTTTGCTGCTGCTGCCCTTGTGCTCTGTAGCCTTAAAATGCCAAAAGTTGTCCAAAGCATATAATATCCAGCAGGTACAGAAATGTGCTGTGATTTTGGGATGAAAAGTGCTATTGCTATCGATTTGGCTCTGTTAGAACAAAAAGGTAAGCACTGAGTCTTGAACTGGTATATTTTTTCACTTAATCAGGATTTAGCACTTGATCAAATCTAGTGTCTACACTTTAAATTGTAAATTGTCTACACTTTATTAATTTAAAACTCAACTTTTAAGTTAACGTAGTCCAGCTCAGAAAGTGGAGTATGTAAAGCCACTTCTGTTAAGTCTGTTTTGTTCATAGAAATGGCTTCAAATGAAAATGGCCTGGTCAACAATGGTCTTGATGACCTCTCGGCAAACAAAAGGTTGAAGGGAGTACTGAGAATGTGGGCATTTCAACAGAGTATTGAATAAAGCTGATTGCACTGTTCTGTAAGGCAGTGTTGTCTGAATTGCCACAGATATAGGTTACAGTTCTTCTGCTGTCACTTTGTGTCCTTCAAAGAAAAAGCAACATTTTTCACTACTCTGTTTCCCTGAACTTGGCTAGCATCTTTTCCTGTAATCTTAATAGAAGAACCAAAAAATTCTATGGTAGTCATTCCTTTACATCATGGTTGAGACATATCAGTGGAAGCTGAGAAGTCTGTTGTACTATTACCTTTATCTTACCTGATCAGATAATCAGATGTCAATGCCTTCTGTGTCTTTCACTAGAATTTCTTTCTACTTCCAAGTACTTCAGAGTTCTGTGGAGTAAACCTGATGATGAATTCCATACTAAGAATTCCAATTCATGTGCTAATGGCTAAAACCCAAATACTACTTCATGCTGAGTTACTCATAAACCAAAGAAAACATATTGGTTCTTTACACATACCTCTTGTGACATGTAACAAAACCGAGATAAATACAGATGTCTCAGAAAATCTTCACTTTATTTTTCCATGTTTATCTTTGAAAAATAATGCATATGGGGATATTCAGATTAGTGGGCCTGTCTACATTTAAAAATACTAATGTAAAATGCCTTTTTTTTTTAGCGTACAAGAACTTTCATGCTAAGTAAAAATAGTACTTATTAGGAACAGAATATTGTTTTGGAAATAAAATAACACCAGTTATCTGAGTAATGTTTCAGAAAGGACATGAAAAATATATTATGCATTTCTGATAGAAGTATAAAATATATTGCTGAAAACCAGTTGATATCCCAATGATTCATTGGTTTTTGTTATTCTGTTGTTGTTCTTAAAACAACTTTTCAACTTTTCAACATAATATGGCCATGCATATTGCTCCTCTGCTAGTTTTAAGAAAAAATTATTTTGCAACTGCGAAACAGTTGGTCATAGAGGCCTAATCTATGGTTGTTCCTAAAGATAATGGCTTTACAGGAGTGCAAGTTAGTCCTCCAGTAGTCACATTTCTGTGTTAAATAAAAAAACAACAACTTCTCAAGACTTACTCTGCCAGACATGTGTCAGTTAGACTGGGAGAATAATTTTGCCAATGTTTTTTAAACAATTTTTGAAATAGTTTGCAACACCTAATTGTGATCATTTAAATAAGGCTATTCTAGACAGCGTTCAAAAGTTTTGAAGAGTCGTACATCTCTCTCTAATTGCCTCTAGCCCCCTGATGCACAGGAGGTATGTAAGGGTTTGTTAGTTTGGACAGCTCTACAAAAGAAATAGAAAATAACTTCCCTTGTTACAGTTGCTCAGTTTTTTCAGATTGCCTATTTTAAGTTGATGGTGTACTTTTAATAACCACATGTGATAAGGATCTTGGCTTCATGTGTCACCTGAGGATTGGAACCTTAAAGGACACCACCACAGAAACAGAAGGGAGCTGTTTAGGTGTTACTAGATGTGTCCTTTCTCTACTCAGCCTGAGGTAATTCAGTTGCAGAACAAGATGGTATAGTTAAAGACCAAAACTTTTATCAGCACGCGCTGTGCGTGGTGGAACTGGTATTCCAGATGTGGCATTCATCATTGACAGCTGGATTTTGCACATTGTGGAGTTGCTGGGTTTATTGCATGTTTTGATATCAGATTTTAAAACATGTCTCTGTGTTTGCTGTAGGCATGCCCACCCATCCGTTTTTTGTAGCAAGTCTTTTTTATCTGCAGTACCTGTTACTAACGATAAAAAGTGACTTTGAAACAATGACTTCTGCCTACAGTGTTATCATTGGGTAGAAGTAAAATTGCTATATTCCCACTTTATACTGGATACTGCAAACATAGCGCTGATATAACTCACTAAAGCTGACTGACTGACACGTATACAGCCAATATGACTGTAAATATTAGCCTTGGATACCTCTCAGACATTTGTACCCTGAAAAGTAATCTGGAGACTCTTGGGTACAGTTCTTGGTGCTTACTCAAGTAAGCTGAAATAGGACTATAAACTTTCACACTACTTTGGTTCTTCTTAACACAGCTCTGAGGGTTTCCTTCTTGTATTTCTTTTTGGATTTACTGCCTACTGGGAAAGTTGTGTTGTAAAAGAAGTTGCTTAATGTGAGAAGAAGAGATAATATGCAGTTGGAGTTGCTTTAAACAGAGGTAGAAGCTTGTTCCACTTTAGTGTGGTTATCATTGTTTATTTAATAATGTGTTTTCTCAATGTAAACCTTAATGGTGAGATCAAAGGCAGTTATGCTTGCTATAACTTTAGAACACAAATCCACGAAACCAACTTCTAGTTACAAATGCCAGCCTGAAAAAAACCTCGCACTTTCTTCTCAGTGTGTGCTTGTCAACACACACATTCTGTACAATGTGATAAGACACTTTTAGTTAACATGTGCATGCAACCAAAATAGATTAAAGGCATGTACTGATTTAAGACAGTACAGACTAAACAATCAGGAATTTAAGGGCATGTTAGAAACAGGGAAGGAAAGTAATTGTGCTCATTTATTCAGTTTTAAAATGAAACAAAAATTATTACATAGCTTTCTAAATGACAGTCAGAAATGAGTCTTTTGAAACAGTAAGCATACAAAAAAATCGAGTTTAGGAATATGAGAAAAGCACTCTAAGTTTACTAAAAAGAAAATTAAGTACAGTAGATTGCCCCACTGTATTTGCATATGTATAATGAAAGTTCCAGCAGTCAGCTGCTTACTTTATACTATCTTTAAAAACTTTATTAGGGTGTTGTTCCTCTGGTCTACAAGAATCTGGCTTTTATGTCCTTAATCAATGTCTGTGTAATTCCCCTTGCATGGGATGCACGTTACAGACTTGTAATAGATGACAAAACTGTCATGCAGTCAGAATTCTGGCTTAACTTGCTACATGCATAGTGCAGCAGAGCTAGATACCTTGCTGGGATCTGCAACATGCTCTGCTTTCCATGTAATATGCTAAGCATTCTCACATCATAGAATCTTACGTGTTCTAAAGAGCGCTGAGGAAAATAGCTCGTTTGTGTCCTGAAGGGTTGGTAATTCCTAATTTGAGTCCTTATCCTTAAAATGAGTTCTAATATATACTAAAAGCCTTGCAGTTCTGCAGTGTCTATTTAGCCAGCCTAAAGAAATCACTGTGAAGTCCTAACACTGCTGCCAGATGAAAAGGCCAAAAGAAAATTTAAACAAAAAGTCAAAATCATTTTGCATTAACTCTCATGCTCTGTCCCTTAAAATGCCTTTTTTTTTTTTTCTTGTTAAGATTTGGTTTTGCCAAGCTGCTGTTCAGATTCCTAGTACTCATTACAGATTGTTAAAATTGTCCTTTTCATCATGCATTTGATATGTAAACTGACTTTTCTTGTATTAGGCTGTGAGAATGGTAGATGCTGCTTCCCAGCTGCTGGGAAAGACAAGGCATTTCATGACAGTTTCAGGAAAAATATTCTGTCCTGTATCTTGGAACCCCCACACTTTTCCCTCCAGATCAGCCTTCCTTCTCCTCAAAAAAAGTGCATCTAGGTCACGTTGCCTAACATTCCCCTGCTGCTGACCCAGCCTAGACATGGCATCAGTACTGGGGTAGGATATGCCAGCTTCCTCAAGGCAGAAGGGAGCATGAAATAGGAGAAATTGAGCTGACGAGTTCTCAGGGGATGAGGGGGTGTGTTACAAGTTGGATACTTTAAACAAGCGGAGTGGAATCTTTTGGAGCGTGCACACAGGTATTAGCTGCTTAGATTTCTATCACTTACAGGCAGTTCATACCAAGTCAGGGAAGTTAAATCAAGTTTGAGATAATATGAAAGACACGGCAAAAGCAGACCGATCTAGTAAGTCAAAGTCATTTAAAAAGGTCCAGCAGAAAGTGATTGGGTCTCAAAAAATGAGGCCAGCAGCTAATACAAAATAAAGCAACCCACTTTCATAGAGAAAAGCAACCCACTTTCATAGGCAGACAAAAAGCATGTGCAAGGGCTGTTATTTTAGTGCAGCTAATGTGCTCAAGAGCCATATCTTCATCTGCCTTTGATAACTTGCTGCTTTAGATATACCCATGGGTGCCTCTGGCTATATGTAGCCTAAAGGCCAGCAGTCAAGAATAAAAGGTGCAAAACTGGTATTATTACCTGTTTATTAGGGGGGGTTGTGCTGTCTTTAGGGTTAGAGAAAATAGCATGAGGACAGCAATGCTCTTAAGTCCAGGCTTTTAATTCAAAAGGACAATCAGACTGCCTTCAGAACTACTTTGGGCCATCTGAGCAACAGACTGAGAACAAGTACCTGGCCCAGTACCCTTCTCTTCTATGCCACTAAAAGGGATGAGGTGGTGGTTTTTTTATGTCTTAGGATGAGGTGGTGGTTTTTTTATGTCTTAGACAGGGAAATGGTGTTTTATGGTTTCTTCTCTTTGTCCCGTCTTTGCCACCTGCCATTGGTGAGGGTTCAGAGGTCAGAGACTCACATGTTAAGTGAGACAGACTGAAACTTCTATAGGGTAACTATGACTTCTAAAAAGCAAAGAAAAAATTGAATGTCTTAGAAGAAAGACATAATTAATATTAAAAGTAACATAACTTTTGAAAAATCATCTCCCAAGTTGCAGTTCGGTCAGGTAAAAGAAGGTACAACAACCATCAGAGATTCTTTTAATCGTACCAATAATCACCCACTATACACAAAATACCAAAATATACAGGGTCGACGAGTCATCAGGGATATATGTGATTTTTTACTTAAGGGAACATGATCAATTCAGAGTCCACTATCTACCTATACTTCTGAAAAGCAAACAGGCAACTACAAATTCACCTAATGTAGGTAAAAATTTAATGAAGGATCATTGATCACTTAGAGAATTTGATTTAAAAAGACCACCAAGTTAAGAAGCCTCTATCCATAGTTCTGTAGATAGCAGAGTGGTATTTGACTTCATCAGTGGATAAGTAAGTATGACTCGTGTTCCAGCTGAATGTTACTGAGTGAGCAGCTGGGGTTGCAGGGACTTTGCTTCGTCCTTTAGATGTGTGTAATATGCAAAATGCTAGAAATAATTACATTTCATTTAGAAGTTGAAAAGATCCACCTGAAGTGTAAGTTTAACCAAGGCCACAAACTTATGTGAGTTTCAAATAGTATCTTACCATGCCACAGCATCTCAAGGCTTTTTATAGATGATCTACAATAAACAATACCACTGTTAAATGAATGAAAACAAACAAATCTTTGGTTTGAGAGGCAACAGCCGTAATACTCAGCAACAAAAACAAGTAGCAGAGACAGAATGTCTGAAAAAGGAAGAATGAAACAAGGTCAATAAAGAGTACCTAAGGCACCTTGTTTAATAGTCATCTTTGCTACACTCCTTAAGACCTCCAAATAACATATAAAACTGTAAATGCTAAGGAATGTGAAGATGAAACAGCTGAGGATACTGAAGATCAAAGAGCAGAGGACAAAATACATTACTCTTTTTCACAGTTAAAATTCCTATGATCAAAAGTTATCAATAAATATATTCTTTTACACGATATTGAAGTAAAGAGAAGAATCAGAGCTAGGAAAATGAATGAAAGGAGGAACCAATAGCCTTAAGAGTAACTTCATTTGATATTCATGAATTGCAAGTCAAAGTGAAGTAGAAAAGAAGGCTGGACTCGGAGATTGGGATATTTTATCTAATGTCTAGTGCATTTCTCAGTCTCAAGTACTACAGAAGGGGGAAATATCCCCCTTAATTTAAAAAAATAAAAGAATGTGAGAGTCCAGTCTGTTCTTGCTTCAGGAATATGCACTGTACAGCAGGAATTTCAAAACTGTCCTTACCAAAAAAAAGAAGTATGCAAAGGAGAATTTTGAAGAGGGACGGGAGTTTGTTTATTCTACAATAAATATTTTTAATCACCTACTTAGTTGAGACTTTCATCAGATGCAGTATGACGTGGACTAGTAATATAAGCTAGATCTGAGGGTAGACTGGTTAAGTCTTGGTTTGGCCGCTCCTCCCTGCAAATCAATACCAATAAAAAAAGGGCAGGGCAGAATTCCATTACTACTCTGCCTCAGTACAAGATGGTTTGTGAAAGTAAGTCAGCTTTATTGAATCAGCTCCATGTTCTTATACTAGAAAATAGGACTTATAATTAAAGCTCTTTTTAACATAACCAGTTTACTACATATTTGCTGAACTGAATGCAGGATGCTCAGTTTCCAAATTGAGAGCCAGAGGGAAATTCATCAAGGAAAAAAAGAGGCAACAAACCTCTATCCATCTCAGTCTCTGCCCTTGTCTGAATACTAGTTCATTTATATGCACCTCTAAAAGTTTCAAATCACCGTGAAAGATGTAGGTTTCCAAATGTGTGCAGCAGAACAGGAAGTTAGTTAGTTGAACACTTCAGGGGATATAAATACTTCTAAAGTTTTCCTTTCCCACAGAATTTTGGGACTATCAAACTAAGTCTGCAAGAGCCAGAAGCCTTCTTACGTTTTAATGCATCTTAATTAAAAACTGTACAACAGCATTTAGTGTTCATGAAGATGATTGTTAAGCTTTTGGCATTTTTAGGAAAGCACATCAAGCTTTAAAGTAGAATAAGACTACCGTCTTTCAGTACCTAGATTTTGTGCTCATGAAGTACAAAAAAACCACAGACGTTTTCACCATTGTCTGCTTTTACCTTGTGTTCTCCCCTCAGGTATGGCCCATTTCCTGTTCCCTCGGAGCTACCTTTGGCTATATGGCTGGTCTGATTATTGCACCTCTGTGGATACACTGGAACCGGAAGCAGCTTACATACAAAAGCAGATAACTGGAGCAAAGAGAGACAAGGTATTTCTTTGTGCAGATTCCATACAGACTGTGCAAAAGTTGTTTTTTTAAGATAGATATATATATATATATATAGTCAAAGCAGAAGACTGTCCAAATTCAGATAAGAGTATTTCAGGCCAAGCATCTCCACTCATTAAAATCACATAGATGCCATTTCAGCATGGTGCAGTTTTTGCTTCCTCTAGACTTTGTAACCCTGAGAGATTGTACCTTCCAGTCTGAATAAAATATTTGTAACAGGTGTGGTGGCTTCTTATTACAAGTTTGTTGACTTTGATTTTATTCCTTTGAATTTCACTGGTTGTAGAAGGCAGAGTTGTAGGTTCAGCTTTCAAACCTGTAACCTGTTCGCTGTGTACTTAATGCATTGTATTTAAAATCAGTAGAATTTCACAGTAAGCCTGGCCATTGTCAAATGTTTCTCACGTGATCAAACAGCAGTTTATACATCTTGAGCCTATTCTCTTCTTCACTGTGTGTTTCTTTGGAGTTAGAATGGCTATAATAGCTTCATCAAAAACGGTCTTCAGTCCTTTCTGTGTTAAAGCTGAACACTCCACATAGCAGTAGGCTCCTATCTGTCAAGAAAATAAGTTAATTCAATAGCAATATATCTCAGCTGTTCACTTCCATCTGTGCACTTCTGCCTTTTTTTTCCCCCCTATGGTGACATTACAATGTTTGGCTGCAAGCTAGAAAAGTTATTTGCATAACTGATGTGCGTTCCCCGTAGGAGAAAATAAGATTTGTCTTTTGCCCGAAGATCTAGAAGGTATTTAAGATGGTTTGTTTATAAAGGAAACATATTAAATAAGCTCTTTTGGCAATGGGGTCCTAAGGTATGTTTGGTAATTAAACAGCAAAAAAAGAATTACATGACCACTTTGTTTCAAAAATAAGACTCTGTAAGTAATTGTCCTGATAAGCATTTACATAGTAGTTAAAATGGTAGTATAATATTCTCAAATAATTTTTAAAAGATACAATATTTTGCTTGAGCAAAAGAGGTCCCTTCTGACCTCAAACCAGTCTGCAATTTTAGTTATCTTATACAGCTTTTACAGGTGTCTGTGCAGAAAATTAGAACTAACAGGGAAGTGCAATTACACAGGTCTGCTTGTTACGTCTATTCAGCAATGTAAGTAAATATTGTCAACTCGTAACCAGTCGCAAGATTTCATACATGGACTCGTAAAAGAAATGGGCAAAGTGGTAAAAGAAGTCAAGTGGAAATAGGGGGTTTTTTGTTCTTTGTTATTTGGTTTCATTTAGGAATATCCAGTTTACCTCTTTCGCTAACTTCTGTCCTTGCTCCACAGATATGGGCTTCTCTTTCATATCATTCAGTCTTGCCAGAGTTTTTGGGTCATCACGAAGATCAATCTGGCAAGAAAGATTATATTCATGTTGGAATACTTTTTTTTAAACAAAAGTCAGCAGACAATATGATACACTCATTTAAAAAGAGAATTATTTAAAGGAGTATTGCATCTATTAAAAGGGAGTCATATCATGTTTAAGATCATGGACTGTTCCTGATCCAAAAGCCCTAAATTTAAGATGTGAATGACTACCTTTAATCCAGAAGGAACTAACATTTATTCTGTAATTCAGCTCTTCAATTAGATGTGATCATCTCAGAATACCAAAATGTGCATCCAGCGGTGGCAGAAAGATTAACCCAAACATGTTACCGACATGTGGGTCACTTCATAAATGAAGCTCAGTCCACTGCCCACAAGAAGCAAGAGGAAATTGTTTCACTTCTCTTGCTCCTTTGCTTCAGCAAATATTGCATATGACTAACAGTTGTGGACCCAGGTAATTCCAGTAACATGGGCATGACCAGACAATTTTGTTCTGTAAGTCCCATGACTTTTTAGAAAGTCAGATGAAGACATGCAGCCAATCTTGCCACCCTGTTTACAATGGGTATAACAAGGCTTTTTTAAACAAAATGGAGAAAGCTCATTAAAGAACAACACAGATCTAGGTTTTTCTGCAACTTGTAAAGGTTGTTGCTCCAAAGGTAGAAGGAGGTGCTGCTCAGGTCCTGTTGGGCCTGAGCTTCCAGCCAGAAGAAAAGGCACCACACAACAATCCTCACTGTTTAAATAAAGTAGAACAGAACCAAATATACCTGTGTTCCTACTAGTAAAAAGGGAACATTAGGTGCATATTCCTTCAACTCCGGTACCCACTCTTCCTTCACATTTTGAAATGAAGCAGGGTTTACCACTGAGAAGCAGATAAGGAAGACATCGGTCATAGGGTAAGATAAAGGTCTCAGACGATCATAGTCTTCCTAAGGAAGAAAAATTCTGTTATCTGCAATATTAAATTGTTGCCTGTATTTTGTTAGTTTTAGAAGTTATATTCAAAAACCGTATTAATATTTCATGAATGTTGTTGAGGCAAACTTTCTGAATGATTCTAGCTTTTCCAGATTAGTTAGTGTGGCTGTTAGAGCAATATCTGCATATAAGGGAAACTGTATGCAAATTTAAGTATTTTAAAAAGTGTATTAATACTGATGGAAATTTTCTTCTGTATGAGGATATACCTTTTAAAAAGTTTTCACTTGAAAAAACAGGCTTATGGTTCAAATATACTTGTAGATCAAAGGTCAGTTATTTGCAGAGAAATAAGCAGATGTGACTGCTGTAGAGCCATCTAGGCGAGATTATACAAACCTAGGCTAGATTAAGGCTATTTAATGCACTTGAATGTTCTGTTTTGGATCAGATGTAGAGGTGATATTTAAGGCCCTCCTTAGAATTTTACTTCTTAGAAGCTTTACAATCCTGTTGCTAGAGATCAGTGCAGTAGGATCTTTTGTCGACTGTGCTTTCTAAAAGCAAGCCCAGCAAAGGGTCACAAGGAACAGAAATCCAGGATCAAGACTATCAGCGGAATATTAATGCCTTTTGTTGAGGAGGGGTTAGTGTGAAAAGATTATTATTTGGGTCATTTAGGGCCACAGCATTTAGAGCCACCAGTCATGCTGCCAGGGCATAAAATACTGTGACAAGACAGGCACCTAGGATCAGAATTCTCTCTAGCAAGAGAGAAAGTGGATTTTTGCCATCTATTTTAGCTAAAATCAGAAGGGAACATGCCCCAGCTTCTCTCTGCAAGGCTTCCTTTGTTTTTTGGCAATGAACCAATGCCTTACCGTTTCTACCTTGGGTTTTGGGGTTTCTTTTAACATAACTAAGATTGAGCCCAGGCACTGCAGAGACAGTGTCAAATGCTGGATTTATGCCTTTTCTTCCACAGTAAACATCTGTTTGTTATGGCTGCTGCAGCAGCCTCCCTCCTTCCCATGTAAGCTTCCCATCTTAATTAAATCTCACAAATATTGGAACGATTTGTTCATTAAATGTAGAGGCAGAAATGTAATTCAACTCCATGTTTGAAATGAGCCAGAAAATTAAATTTTTGTTTCCTTGGCAACAGTCACATTACCAGATTAATAACCTATAGTCACACACTTAAAAAAAGCCCTTCATTGATTGTAAAGTTTTAAACGTGGTCCCTAGAATTTCAGAAAACATGTAAGAACTTCCTCAGAACAGTTTCTGCTAGGCCCATCTTTCCATTTAGAAGTCAACAGCTATGAGAAGAGGGCTGTCATCATGAACTGGAGAAAAGACAAGCACAGACAGAGATTCTGCGCTAGCAAGGAGGTGACCATTGACCAGTATTCTCCAGTGCCTGTTTACAGTGTTCTGAACCGTAATCAGTATTCTCATGTGCCATTTTGACTATAGGCTCTACTGCCAGTTTAGTATACAGGTTTGTCAATAAACCAGAGCGTGCTTAGTTGTTAACGTGGGTTCCCAATTTCACAACCACAGTAAAAGGCACCACTGTGAAACAACAACATTTCACAGACTAGTGTCAGGCTCCTGCCCTGATTCAAAAGAAAAAAACAGTAACCCTGTCTTTTCCACATCTGTGGACATTCATCATAGAAAACAGAAATAACTTCAAGAACACCACAGCAAGTTGAAACTCTTCAACGTTCTTTTTTAAGCATGTATTTTACATTTTACTTTTACTACTGAATGTAGTTAGATCCTGCTCAGGGTTGTTCATGTTTTTTCTGGGGTGGAGAACAAAATCCTAAAAGAAGCTTCCCAACTGCAAATTACAGTGGTCCCTGGAGTACAAAATCTGCATGCAAGGACACACAGGAGAATCTGTCAGTTGCTCTCAAATTCAGCTTTACTAAATCATATGTGGAGTGTTTCTTTAAAAGAAAATATCTAGTTTAAACCCATAATTTGTTCCTACCACGAAAGAGCTGCCATCACTACACTCAACATTTTCTAAAAATCTTACATCTGGGTTACAATAACTAGAATACTGTCTGCACTAAATGCTGGAATGCAGAAAGCATTTCACTGTCACCAGAAATTATGTTAGTCCATTAACCTTAAAATACCTCTTTAGTTAATCCATTGCAAATTACAGATGGACCTTTTATTCATAGCAAATATTACTCATTTTCTTAAAGCCGATCTCGGATCTGAACTCCTTTCCTGGTCCTGCATCTGTTTATGTGCCTTCTGATTTATACCCTGCCCCATCTGCACTGGGCAAGCTGTGGGTCCCTCCAGAGTAATTAAGAAGTTCAACTGAAGGCAAGTACAATGCGATTGGATACATCGTGTCCCACAGCTAAAGATGTATGTGGTATTTGCAGCAGTGACTTCACTACATTTATGCTTTCTTAAATTATCCGAGAATTTGGCTATACCCACCAGTCCTGCTGCTTGAAACCTGTCAGGTTCTGTCAGGCTCTCCTTTAAACCTGGTCTGTGCTCTGACCGTTAGGTTCATACTGATATTAATAGTGGCAGGTACTTCTAACAAAGCCTTCCACCACATGGTTAGACTGATCCTGGGTCCTTCTGAGAGAGACCCTGCTTAAATGTTATCAACACCTAGTAGGCCATTTGTGCCTAAAGACTCCTGTCTCCCAAAAACCCCACAGAAATACCAGTCAAACCTGTAAACTTTCTGTGATGTATTGGGCCTACATAACTGCTGGACTGGGTAGAAGAATCTGAAATACCAAATTAATTTAGACTTAATATTAGAGAAGCCTGGAAAAATCTTATTGCTTCAACTATAATTTATTTCCTGAATCTAGTGTAAGGGAAACAAATGTAGTTTATTCTAGAATTAAATGCAATGGCAAAATTAATTATACTAGCCAGTCACGATAAATTGCAATTCGAGTGCATGTACACACCACACTGTATGGCAGTTAGACTAATCAGACAATCTAATTGGAGGAGACACTGCATACATATTTAAGCATTAAAAATATTTAAAGAATTTAACTGGAATATTTTAAGAATGTGAATAAGGTGGGCAAGAAAGCCTCTAAGGATCAAAATAATCAGTTATAAGTCTCAAAAGCTCCAGGCTATAATAGAGAAACAGCATGTTCTCCAACATACTCTGAACTTTAAACAAAAATTGCTTGCTGTTTGCTGGAGCAGGTGAATACAGATAGAAAGATATGCTGAAAATACAAGGGATGTAATAAGTTTAAACAAAATTGGATGCAAGTATGTTGACTTAACTAACATTATATGAAGCTGTGATCCCTATAAAAGACATGACACTGCAGCAGGACTGTTCATCATTTACATAGTATCCCTGTGGAAACCTAGAAGAGCTGCCAGTACACATCACATGAAAAAGGGGATGACATGGAGGAAGTAATTACTTGACTTGGCTTCTCAACTACAAACTGGGCTTTTTGTTTTGTTTTTAAGAGTGGAGAAGGGAAATTCATACAATGGAAATTCATACTTTTAAATTATCACATCGCCCTACTTTTGATATGCTGCAGGTATGTCTAGCATTGCCTTTAACTTACCTCCTTAAAATCTGTCCTTTAGGTCTCTTTTTTCATGTTACAGTACCTGCTAATCTGCCTGAGATTTTCTACTTCCTTGTCCTTGAATACTGAATCACTGATTTTCATTGTATTTTGAATGTTGAAGTGAATTTGCTCTAACATGTCCAAAATCTGGCTATTTCCAACATTTACCTGTTCAAAAACAGGTCTTGAGAAACTTTTTGCATGCAGACAGAAGAATGGTATTGCAATTCTGCAGAATTACATTCTTCCTCTTTTCAAAAGTTTTGTTCAGCCTAAAAGCTGTGAATGCAATGCCCTATTTCAAGTCATATATTTGATTCTGAATTAACACTTTTGCACAATTCCATGGATATCAGCTGAGAGACACATTTAAAACCACACAAACTATATTCCTAACTCTACCACTGACACATATGCAGTCCTGAGCAAATCATTATCCTCTCTCTATTTGCATCTTCCCATCTGCAGAGGCTTGCTAGCTTTGTAATGCAATAGTCTTTGCAAAGCATTCCTTTGAGCTACACAGCTTATGTGCAGTGGAATACTTTTTAAAAACATAAACTAAGAGAAAGTAGAGTATTATTATTTCTGAATAACCTTTCTGACACACAAAAAGCACTACTTCCTGATATTTATTAGAAAACTGAAGTGAGAGGTGCAGGCATACAGGAATTCTGTCGTACTAGAGACTCTATAGCTCCACTGTTTCATGGTTATCATGCTCCTCCTGGCCCAAGTTGAAGTGATGGGGACAGAGACAGAGGTCCTTACCCCTCTGTCAGTAATGTGAGACCACAGGCCTTCTCCTCTGGAATGGTATCTAGGTCTCTCTATCCAATTTGGAGAGATGAACGGCTATTAGACCTTTGCAGTCAATACCTCCCCACTTCTTGATCAAGACCTTTGAGGAAATTCACACTTCTCAGATCTGTCGTCGCAGGTAGTAAAGACGATGTCAAACAGATCTGTTTGATTTTTATTTCCTTGCAAATATGGGGGCTAGTGTCTTTAAGCGAATAGGAAAAAACGAGTTCTGGTATGTCGGTAATGCTGAGGCAGGGGCCCAAGGTGTGTCATGTTTTAATCCACACTAGGTGCTTTGTACTCTGATGGAATCAAAGCAGTGAATCATTTTATGTGTTTTGCAGCCTAGGAATGAAATTTTAACAATGCACCTCCAGTTCTACTGGCATACACTTATAAACAAAAGCATAATCCTATTTCTTTTCTATTCCGAGAGGCATAAAGTCGATGGGAGGGAACAAAATAAAGCTTGCACCACTGGAGGAAAATCCAGAGCTCAAAAACTCTGGGTTTATGATCTCTGCGTTAGCAACCATCTGTTGCTTTCACAGTGTACAACAGCAATCGTAAGAGGAGGTTCTCACTCCCAACCATCT